GCCGGTAACCATACCATTGGTTTGAAGTCATATTCGGTAGAAGGACGAGTCTTTGGATATGACGTGAAACTAACGCGTTGGGAACACCGTTCTTTTAACAACCGTCTCTTTATACGTCGACTTCTTTCTAAACATCACTACCTCTGGCTAAGATGTACAATTCTTTGTAAGCCTTCAACGTTATAATAGCAATTCCGGACTATGACGGCGACTCCGCCCATCCGGCGCCTCTACAGCAGAGGCGTAACATCTGGCGGGAGAAGCAGAAGCGTGCGACACGGGGCGCAGGACCGCGGGGACCGCGCGAGCCGCCCCTCCCGTGGTTGCAGAGCTAAAAGTGAAGTTCACGAGGTACCAAAAGACGGAGGGCCTTCCCAGGTCCCCCAAGAAAATGAGGGTAGGCCGACTCCAGGAACCCGAAATACGGGAGAAATACCAGCAAAAGCTCAATGAGCTCCTGGAAAAGGGGGCCCCCGTCGCGGGTGCAGAGACACAGGACACACAACACGGCAGTACACATGACATACCAATACCGGAGGAGACAGATGCACAACAGCGCCAGCAGGCGATTGACTCATTATGGGAATGGCTGCAAACTGCGCTCCTTGAAGCGGGACAGGACACGCTAGGTATGGAGATGCGGCGGGAGTCCGAACTTTGGTTCAATGAAGACTGCGAGACGACCCGCACCTCCAGGAACGACGCCTGGGGACGCCTACTACAGGAGCCTGCGCGGGAGGACAGGCAGGTGAAATACGGTGACCTAAAGAGAGAGCACAAAACAACGACAAGGAGGGCGAAGAGAGAGTTCAACAACAAGAGGTATGAGTCTTTGAGTGAGTACTTTGACTCAGGTGCAATCAGAGGCCTCTTTGCGCAGGTACGGAGGGAGCGGGTGGGTTTCACCCCACGCGCCAGCATGGTAAAGGACAGAGAAGGCACCCTGGTGCTGACACCGGAGCAACGGCTGGCGCGGTGGCGCCAACACTTTGAGGGCGTGCTGGGGACCGCCGCCAGCGAGGGAGGCCAGGAGGTTGGTGACCCCGCGCCGGAGGGCAGCGGTGCGGCCGCGCCGGAGGGCGCCGACGAGGTCCCACCAACGAGGGCGGACGACCGGGAGGTCGAGCCACCGACGCGCGCGGAAGTTGCCAGCGCGCTAGAGTCCCTCCGCAACAACAAGGCGGCGGGGGGCGACGGTATACCGGCGGAGCTCCTCCGGCACGGCGGGGACGAGCTGCTGACGAAGCTCCACGAGCTGGTCGTCAAAGTGTGGGAGGTGGGAGGCGGAGGCCATCCCGAGGGAGTGGGAGGAGGCAGTCATAACAATGCTGCATAAGGGTAAGGGGGGCATATATGACTGTGATAATTACAGGGGGCTCTCTCTGCTCAATACAGGGTACAAGCTGCTGTCGGTGGTCTTACTGCGACGGCTGGAGCGCTATGCGGAGGAGGCCCTGAGCGATTGCCAAGCTGGTTTCAGGAGAAACAGGTCCACGACGGACCACATCTTCGCTGTCCGCACATCTCTGGCTAAGCGGAGGGAGTTCCGCTGCGATACCCACCTGATATTTGTGGACTTCGCGAAGGCGTACGACTCCGTTATACGGAGCGAGCTATGGAAGCGCTTGGAAGAGATGAATATCCCAATGAAGCTGATAACAATGATGAAAGCCCTGTTCCGCACGACGCGGAACCGGGTGAAGGTCGACGGCTTTCTGTCAGAGGACTTCCGCACAACCAGCGGGGTGCGACAGGGAGACGCCCTCTCACCGCTACTATTCAACTTGGCCCTGGAGACAGCCCTGCTGAGAGTGCTCAGACGCATAGGTCAGCAAGTGCGGATCCTGGCATATGCTGACGACATTGTCCTGATAGGCGAGACCAAGGAGCAGCTGGAGGAGGCCATGGGGGCGCTGATCGAGGAGTGCGCGGAGATTGGTTTGTCGGTCAATCAGGGTAAAACTAAGTACATGCCCGCCACCCACCAGCAGCAGGCGAGTGGGGATTTGCCCCCCCTCGAGGTGGCGGGACACAGCTATGAAGCTGGTTAGGATATTCAAGTATTTGGGGTCCCTGATTACATGGGACAATGACAGTTACATAGATGTTAAGAGTAGAGTAAGACTCGCTTCTGCTTGTTCCAGGGCACTGAGGGGAATCCTCAACTCCAAATCAGTGTGGCGAGGAGCAAAGCTCATGATTTACGAGGTCGCCATTAGGCCAGTCGCCCTGTATGGCTGCCAATCGTGGACGCTGACAGCGCGGTGCAAGGACCTCCTCACGACCTTCGAGAACCAGGCCCTCAGACAAATGGTGGGCTGGGACTTCTCCCAGGGCTACGTCCGCACCCGCAGCAACAAGGAGGTGCGCGAGCTACTGCGCTATGAGAAGTGGATCGTCAGCGCGGCCCAGGCAGCAGCCATGAACTGGGCCGGACACGTCGTGAGGGCGCCAGAGGGGCGCTTCATCAGGCAGGTGGACAGGGAGCAGCCGGAGGGCAGGAGGGCACCAGGGAAGCCTCGCACCCGATGGCAAGACTACATCAAGGCGGTGGCCAAGGAGCATGGAGAGACCGACTGGCGCACCCTCGCACAAGACAGGGAGGCGTGGCAGAACTTGTGCACGGCGGTCAAGCAGGCCCCACCACTAGCGCCGCCGCCCCCCAAGAGCAGCACCGCGGCCGTGGCCACGGCAGTGGGCACCCAGGACAGTGGGAGTGAGGACGAGGAGGATAATGTGGATGATGTATTGCAGGAGGCGGCAGCGAGGATCAACGCGCAGCCGCCCCACCCAGTGGTACGGACAGTCCACTCCCTCAGCGACAGCGAGTGAACGGTGACGCACTAATCCCCCCCCCCCTCCTCCCTCCTACAGGTCGGTGATGCGAGTCCACTAATGCCACTTTTGCCCAATATAGCTACACGCCAGACGCGGCCGGGACACCATGGAGAGTACTACTGCACTGCACTGCACATACCTATTACTGCATAGCGACTAACCCGCCGTTTTCTCCCACGCAGCGGTGCCCGGGCCCTGACTGCCCGGGTGCCAATGACCCCACCTGAAGGTGTGCAATGCGCGCGCCTCAGCAGTGGTGGTCATGTGACGCGGTCACCTTCCGCGTCACGGGCCGGGTGGCGAACCCGGGCGTGTCGTGAGTACACTTCACGCTGACTGGCGATCTAGCCCGGCCCCCCCATACCGCCACTAGGCGATGGTGACTAGCGGGTCCACGCACCACTAGCCTGAGCTAAAACAGAGAGCAGACGGCGAACAGAGAAATGGTGCTCGCATCACAAGCCTGAGCTGGAACAGAGCAGACGGCGATCAGAGGAATGATGCGAGTGGACAGCCGCGAACTCACGGACGCGACCACCGCACAGTGTGGCGCGCAGGATATGGGCCGACCTAGGCCTGGCTGCGGGCCCCGAGTTATGGGGAGGTCCAGTTCGCTATGAACAAGCAGTCATAAATCCTTTCTAAAGCTAAAAAAAAAACTACAAATGGGTATTTCAGGTCTTCGCTTTGACTGTCTAGGATTAATCGTTGTCAATTAAGTGACTCGTGTTCTTAATACCCACAATGGAGGATTCTTCAAAGAATTGGGAAAATCTTTACACATTCTATTTGCATTTGTCACCTGTATATGTTTGCAGCTCCTTGTTTACATGTTTAGCTCTTTTCTGGACTTGGTGGTC